AAACAAACAAACAAATAAATAAATAAAATTCTTCTGAAATAGGATTATTATATGCCAATTTAATTGAAAAAGACAAACCTATGTTGTATATATGGAAAAAAGACTAGAAATACGCATGCCACACTCCGTGTGTATCACGGTGATCTGTAGGTGAGATTGAGTTTTTTTGTCTTCTGTGCTTATCTTTGTTTCCCTTGTTTTCTACATCAAGCTTCTGTTCAATTGTGTAGTTAGAAAAGAGGATAAAAAATGTTTAAAACCGTGCTGATTCTACCTTCATAATATCTTTTCTACCCTCTCCATCCCCTTCAGCATGGCCCTAGCTCTGCTCTGCATCTCTCACTGAGACCATTGCTTCAGCTTTCTAATGGGTGTCCCTGCCCTACCAAAGGACCTAACCCGGCCATCCCCAATCCCTGGGCCGCCGACTGGTACTAGTCTGTGGCCTGTTAGGAACCAGGCCACACAGGAGGAAGTGAGCGGTGGGCGAGTGAGTGAAGCTTCATCTGTATTTACAGCCGCTCCCCATCGTTCTCATTACCCCATAAGCTCTGTGTCCTAACAGATCAGTGGTGGCTTTAGATTCTCATAGAAGCACGAATCCTACTGTAAACTGTGCATGCGAGGGACCTAGGTTACACACTCCTAGAATCAATGCCTGATGATCTGAGGTGGAGCTGAGGTGGTGATGCTAGCGCTGGGGAGCAGCTGCAAATGCAGATTATCATTAGCAGAGAGGTCTGACTGCACAACAAATGTAATGCACTTGAATCATCCTGAAACAATCCCCCGCTTGGTCCGTGAAAAACTTGTCTTCTGTGAAACCGGTCCCTGGTGCCAAAAAGGTTGGGGACTGCTGATCTAACCTATCGCTCTGCTCAGAGTCTCTGAAACTCCCTGTGTTGAGTAGCATCGCTGCTCTTCCTCCTCACCTTGTTGCTCCAGACCCCTCCACCACCACTCTGGTCTTCTCCTCCCTCCCCAACTTCACCCTCCCGCACTACCTGCACACCACAGTGCCCCTGCAACACCAGCGCTGTCAGCCTCGTTGTCTGTCCCTGGTTGTGGTGTATACTGTTGCACCTCAGTCCTATCTTACCTGTTTAAAGTCCGCCCATCTCTCAAGGCCTGCCTTCTCCAAGAAGCCTTCTTCTATCATTACCTCTCCCATACTCTGGTTCACTTGGTTGAACTTACTCTGTGGCCACAGTCACCAGCTGCCTTCTAATACAGTGATTTCTGGAGGATTCTGCCACCTCCTTTGGTCACCTCCCTATCAAGAAGGTCTGGACTCGCAGTGCCTAGAGCCTGCACACAGTAGGGCTTCATGGAACTCTGTTGACTTGAACTGTTGGCTCAGAGTAGCCTCTGTACACTGTGATGGAGATCCAGAGTCATCTCTGCTGGGTGCCATAAATATGTGTAGTTTTTTGGCACGCAGGAATCTATCAAATTATACATGTAAACTATCACAGTTGAGGTTGTGTGGCATAAAACTGTGCATATATTAAAATACAGGGTTTATGGGCATGCCATTTGGTATTCAGAAAAAAATTTCTTCCACAACTGGCTAGTAAACATTTGAGTGTGGACATAATTTCAAGCAATTCCTTGGAAAAAATGATTCTATGGAAACCCAGGAGTGTCCTGGAGGCAACCACAGATAATTACATTGAGAAAACATTTCTATAACACTCCTGCTTAATGTAAAAAGCAAATTGTTGATTCTTGGTTTCTCTTCCCTTGTTTTCTCTTTGAAAAGTGAAATATGTTCTCAGTAACGAGAATATATTTTATTATAGCACTAAGCTTTCTTTTCAGCTCTGGAATATCCTTAACTATTCTTTCCTCATAAAATATAGGGGTTTTAGATGCCTTGCCCTTCTTTTAATTCTACATGTGGCCTGTGCTTTGCCCGTCTCTCCACCTTTCTTTGCAGTGCTATCGTACCCTTCGGCATCCATGTTTCACATAGAACTGTTGTTGCGGCAGTGAAACAAACAGGAAAGGCTAGTCACTTCCCAGTGTTTCTTGGCCTGAAGCCCTTCTGTGTTTCATTGAGGTACCATGTGAGTCAACTCAGCACTGGTACATGACTAATCCTTGTTGCACCATCAGGCTCAGGGGTTCAGGGCTGTTAATGTATGTGAGAGGTCAAGCACGAATGAGGTTCTGAACCAAAGCTTGCAGCATACCCTTTTGGCACACGCTATCTTAACCTGAAAACATGCGCCTTAACCTGCATTACTTTATGGAACTTTGAGACACTTTTGTAACAGTTAAATTATTGAATGAACCTCTCCTAGAAAATTAAATTTGTTATAATTGTGCAAATATTGGTGGATCCTCCTTATCTTGGGCTGGCTGAGGATACAGACCTCATGGGTGGTACTGCCAATACATACATATATATGTGTGTGTATATGTATATATATATCCCTTTGTCTGGCCATTTGTCCATCTCTCCGTCATCCACCCACACATCATCCATGGTCTCCCACAACTGGGGTCCTTCTGAGCAGGAATCCCATCCGACGCATTTTGGAATTCCCCACCGCGCCCGTAGAGACCCCCGTGCATCTCGGAGGCCCGATGCTCCTGGGCGATGATGAAAGTGCTGATTCTCTCAGCACCTCCGTGTGTGTTAAAGAGGGGTGCTGAGAACACAGGACCCATGTGCGGGGTTGGGCACCGTAAAGGAACTCTTGACCTTGTGACCCAAGATTTTGTTCTCCCCATTTCCTGACCTCTTGGAAATCCCATAAGAGTGGTGGGCAAGGGTGACATGAGTGGTCCTGCATTTAACAACTTTTCTGGTGTGTGTGTGTATGTGTGTGTATTTGACTCTACAGGTCAGTTTTTGGGTTGTACGAGAAATTCTAACAGCACAGACTTTAAAAATAAGGGCAGAAATCCTGAGCCATTTTGTGAAAATAGCCAAGGTAAGCTGTTTTATTATTTTTTTCCTCCTTTCCCTCTTTTTTACTTTTTTTTGGTCTCAAAAATATGTTTCCTCAGTACTTTGGGAGCTGCTTTGCTTTGGACCTGCCGGGCAGGGTACAAACAGGGTGCTGTGGCTTGACCTCCCCAGCTGTCAGATCTGCCTGGCTCCCCACCCACCCCCAGCACCCTGTGCGTGAGTTGGCAGCATGCCCCTCCACCCCATAGCTTTGGCAACCAACCATTCTCCTCACCCGGGCTGAGATCTCCATGAGACAGACATCAGCAGCTACCCTTGGAATCCATTGATTCTCCTGCTTTAGATTTAGCCTGTGCTAAGGGTTGGTGGGTTTTAGTTAGCATCAATGCTTGTGGTACCATCACATCCTGCACAATTTTGTCACCAGTCAACAGAGCCCACCCTACCCCATCCTGAGCTTAGGCCCTGGACCAGATGACCCTGCAGCCCCCCACTTCCACCTCCTATGCCCTGGCCTGATGGGTTCTGTCCTTGCCACTTTTTGGGCACCACCTTTTCCCTCTTCTTCCCTCATCTCTGCCAGCCCAGGCTGTGTCATCCCATGGGCCTTCCTGGACCACTTTCGTGCACAGGCAACACCTCCCCATACACTGCTCTCAACCCCTCTAGCTTGCCTGGCTCTCAGCAGCGTTGTTCTGTGCAGTTCACTGCTTGCTTCATGTGTGTGTATGTTGTCTTCCCCCTAGATCCTAGGAAAGCTGCCCTTTACTGAGGCCCCTATGAGCTGGGCACTGTAGCAGCTGCTTTACTGACACGATCATATCCACTGCTCACCTCATTATTACTCCATTTGCAGAGGAGGAAGGGGAGGCTTAGAGAGGTGAAGCATCCATGCTCAGGGCCCCACAGCTGGCAGAGGCAGAGCAGGATCAGAGCCGTGCCTCTCTGCCTGCAGGGAGCTGCTCTGCTGCCCTCACAGGAGTCTGAGTGCACCCATCTGTAAATGTCAACGGCATCGCCCACGTTTGCCTCCCATGATTCTCCTGAAATACTTGGACCTGGTGCTGGGATTAGTGATACTTATCACTGTTGATCAGTTCTGTGCTGGGCCACAAGAGAAAGTGGGATGTGGTTCCAGCCCTCCTGGGGCTTTCAGTTTGAAAACGAGTTTATGGTCCCCATCCACCCACCCACGGAATCCAAAATGATCCCTCCTTAATCTCTCCCCTTTTCCTTGCGGTGCACCATCATGCTGGCGCTGTGCCCTGGGTCTTTCCTCGTGCAAGCCCCTCCCTTTCTCTAGGCCTTGGCTTTCCCACCTATAAAATGAAAGGGGTGGGTTAGATAATCTCCCAGAGGCCTTTCATCTCTAAAAAGAAATTTTCTGACAGGCATAGCAATTCAGATACGTAGAATGAAATTCAGTTCACTCAGAGAATCTCTTCCTACACACAAGAGACACCTAGAGAATGTTACAAGATGTATGAAATGAAGTATTAACTTGGGTGGTGAGGGAGAAATTTCCCCGTAGGAACAGAGCAGTGAGGACTAGCAAGGGCTTTTCATTTACTTATTCATTTCACTAGGCCCTACTGTGTGCTGCGCACAGTACTAGGTGCCGGGGACACAATGGTAGGTAAAGCCTTGTCCCTGCTCTCAGGAAACACGTGGAGCAGGGTGAGGGAGAGGCAGGTAAGAAGCAAGTCCAGTCCCATGTGCTGGGGACATGCATACATGGCTGTGGGAACGCAGAGGCAGAGGCCCCCACCTTCTTGGATCTGGGAATGTGGTTGGGAATGGCGTGTTAGAGGAAGTGGCATCAGAGCTTGGAAGCACCGAAGACAAGTGGTGGGGGAGGGAAAAGACGAGTCTCCCAGACAGAGAAGACTGATACGCACACGGTTCTGGAGCACTGGCCTCAGGCCAGCCACTGGTCTAGGCAGTTGACACGCACTGTCCCATCGAGCCGAGGTGCCGTGAATTGCCGTCCTCGTTTTAAGTATGAGGACACCGAGGCTCAGAAGGAGGAGGTAACTTGCTGAAGGGTACGCAAGTAGTGGGAGCTGGTCTTTTGGTTCCCCAGAGCCTGCTCGATAACCCAAACTTCACTGACTGCCAAGAATGAGAAATGGGACCCCAGTCCTGTTAGCAAGTTTCCCTCAGCATAAAACCAAGAACAGAACGATTACATATTTCTGCTGCCCACTCAACTGTGTCCCATTCTGTTGTGCTTCATGGTAGGGAACTTGTTGGAGACTGAATTGAATCCAAATGTTCTCACTAAGTTGGGGTCTGGTTCAAAGGAGCATGGTCAAGTGATTGGGAATCCAGAGCACTGGCTTCCGCTGAGAGGGATTATGCGGATTGACAGCATGTTTCCTCAGCCTCTTTCTCTTTTGGGCGTTAAGGTGATCGCAGAAGCCCCGCATTGATACTATTGGCACAGCCAGGGTTTTAGCTTATAAAAGCCTGCTGGGACAGTGTTCAGATTCATCTAAAAGAAGAACATAAAGCACATTATCAAACCTTATTCTGAGCCACATTTCTGTCCAGCAGCCAGACTGGTCAGCTTATGAAATTTTGCAAATGTTTAAGTGCAGACTCACCTTTTGACAATTTAAGAGGGAAAAAAAGCATATGGTTTCTATGAACTTCCTAGAACTATATTTTCTACATGAGATATTTTTAAGTGTAATTGAATTTCATAAATATGACAGCATTTGGTATCACTCGAGCATGTTTTTGTTCTGTTGTTTATAGCAGCAAAATAATCTATTCCATATCTTTTTCAGAAACTTCTAGAACTCAACAACCTTCATTCTCTCATGTCTGTGGTGTCAGCATTACAAAGTGCTCCCATCTTCAGGCTGACAAAAACCTGGGCTGTAAGTTAATCTTCCTACGTCCGTCCCTTTGATTTTGGCTGTCATTTTATTGGCGAAGTTCTTCATTCCTTAAGCCCCGCCTTTCTCCGACTGTCTCCACTTTGCTCACCTCAGAGTTCCTGTGAGTTGATGATGTGTTCTCTGGGCGTCCTCACTCTTTCGGCCCGTTCTGGGATTAGGGGGTGGGGAGGGTGCTCCCTGGCTGGGGTCAGAAGCCCCCTGGAGTGGACCTTCCTGGATCCCACCTCGTGATGGGCGACGGCCGGGTCAGCAGCGTGACTTCTGCCCTCCACTTGGCCAGAATTCTTCTCTGGCCGACTTCAAACTGCCCTCGGGGATGTCTCTGGACCGATGGCTCACAGCTGCCCTGGGTCACTGGCCATACAGCTAAGAGTTTCTCTGGAGAAACCTGTGACCCTCATATAGGAAAAAATGAATTTTTTTTCCTGAGGCCATGGATAATTTCAGCTCAGAGGTGGAGTCTGATAGTTATATAATTGAGTCTGTAGGAAAGTTTTTCTGCTGTAAAAATACTTTAAAAATATCTCAGACCTCTTTATCCTCCTTAGCTTGGCATGGTGCCTGACATGGGGGAAGTAATTGCTACTTCCATAGCTCATTAGCATTCACCTCCTGGCCCGCCTGGTCCGGGGTCTCTCTCAGCCACACAGCCCAAGCCTTTCAAGACCTGTTTATGTCCCATGGAACCGACGGAAACTGTATGGGATTGTCAGATGTGCTTCTGCAACTCATTTCCGAACTCTTTCTGCCAGCCTGTGGCGCTGGGCTCTGTTTCCTACTTGGCTGGTTCAGAGGCCTTTAAAACACTCAGGGATTATGTTTTAGGTGATCAGAAATGAACCTTGTTTCTTTAAATTGCAATTTTCCATAGATCTAGCCCTAGCAAAGTGGAGTGAGAAGTGCTAGCCCAGTGTCAGAAAACTAGGTTTGTGTTTAGGCGCCACTCAGAGCATGACTTCTGTGGGACTTATTTTCCCGTATCTGCTCGGGATGTTGGCCTAGTTTAGTGGTTTTCCATCAGTGCTTCATGGAGTCTTAGGGGTTCCTTAGAGTCGCCTTCGGGGCCTCCAGGGACTTAGGGAATGGAGAGGGGGTGCCAAGCAGGCAGGTCGGGCACTATTTCCACCAGAGCAGCCCTGTTTGTATCAGTTTTATGTACTGGACTTCTGGGTGAATTTTAACTGAGCCATGGCTTTGGAGGTCGAAAGCAAGTTTGGAAGCCACTGATCTCTGCAGTTACTGCCAGCCCTGTGATTCCAAGTTTATCTGAGCAGTGAGGCTTTTTTCAAAAGTTGCTTGGAGATTCTTTTTCTAATGAATTTTCCATCATTTAGATGCTGTTACTGTTTCTTGGACTGCTGGGAGCTATGTGAGGACCAGAGGGATGAGTTTTGAGTCTTCTCATGATGCATAGACCTTATCGTCAGTAATATTGTAACTCTCAGTGACCCCTCTAAGCTGCATGCTCGGTGAAGACAGAGGTAGCACAGAGGGCTGGGGGTGTGTAAGGGTCCTGCTTGGTGCCAGGGCAGGGCCATCAATGAAGCATTGGGCAGTGTTCTCCAAGGGTTGCTGTATACTGCCAGAACAGAGGGACCGCATCAGCCAGAGCAATGCCTAGGACCACTGTGTTTGGCTTGACAAGCACTGCTCAGGGTGGCCAAGTCTTCACTGCTGTTGGTGGGTCTTTGCTACAATGAAGATAAACCTCCCATAGCTCCGTGGGGAGCCTGGGCTGGAATACCCACCCAGGACCCATTCAAGGGCATGAGCGTATTCACCTCGCTCCCTTCCAGGCTGTCTGGGTCAACTGTTCTGCCTCACGGATTTGCCAAGATAAAAACATATGGCAGACACTAGTCTAAATACCATACATATATATGTTAACCCTTTTTGTCCTGACAACTACCTATTGAGACAGGTACTGTTATTTATAGATGAGGACAGAGAGGCACAGAGAGGTAGAATGGTTTATGCAGGGTCTTACAGGTAAGTGGCAGGGCTGGGATCAAATTGAAGCAGTCTGGCACTAGAGTCCATGCTCTTAACCACCACACCCCACTGACCTAAACAAGAAAATTTCAACCTACCACCTGTCACTCAAAACAAGAGAGGCATTTTTTTTTCTTTCTTTTTTCTCCTCTGCCAGAAGTGTTGCATTAGGAACTTGGAAGTGCCCCTCAGGGAGGGGACATGCAGCAGACCTTAAAGGCTGCCCTGCAGAATGCCTTCTGGCCACTTACCCTTTGGTTAATCCAAGCCATGCCTTCTGTTGCTCCTCCAGTCACTCAGGATTAGGTGCTGTCTTTGCAACCTCAGTGGGCATTTAGCTGATGGGAACCAAGCGAATGCCAGGGAGCTAAGATTATGTGCCACCAAGGAATAGGGGACTCAGGGCAACAACACATCCCTCTTCTTTTTCTGAGAAGCCCCTCCATTGTTTCCTAAGGCTCAGAGCCAGGGTTGTTTCCCTAAGCCACCCCTCAGGGCAAAAGGCAGGTAGATGCAGCATCTTAGGAAATAAGAATGGCAGCTGCCATGCTGTTGTGTTAGGGAGAGAGGGGGTGATATACCTGGCATGAATTACAGTAGGAGGTATCCGAGGTCATTTGTTGGGGGAACTACTTGTTCAGCCTTTGTTTTAGATCAGACTCTCCCCTCTCACTCACCTGTCCTGTTAATTGAAGGACCACAGTTGGCACAGAGCATTTGGGAAATGGAGGGGGCCAAACTCATCATCTTTTCCCTTCATCCAGATCACCCCCAGCCCCAGTGAAATGGCCAGCTCCATTGTCTGTCTTCCTGGTGCACCTGTTTGTGATGGCATGCAGGGTGGAGCATGCGTCTGCTCTGCAGTTTTGTTTACAGGTCTGCCTCCTCCTTTTGCCTGCATTCCTCCATGATGACGTCTGATTTTTCTCTATATCCCTGGTGCCCAGCCCAGTTACACATTTGCTGTTTGAATTGTGTGTGTTTATTGTCCTGAATTGCACTGCATCTTTCTTTTGCTAGTAATTTCTGGTAATGAGATTAGCCATGGAAATGTCCAAAGAGAGCTGTTTCCTCCTCACTTGTCCCTTGAGCTGGGACTGGTGAGACCTTATGGGCCCACAGCAGGGAGGTGCAGGGGACAATGGAGGGACCAACCGTAACAACCCCAGAGGTCAGTGCTGTTATAATCCTCATTTTGCAGAGGAGGAAACTGAAGTTGGAAGAGATAGAGTGACCTGTCCAGGATCTCAGAGCTGGCGAATGCCAGAGCTGGTGTGATACAGCCTCGTCCTGCTGGAGCCAACAGTCCCTCTTCCTGGCTAGTTTGCTGAATGGCTTGCTGATGGTGGGGACCTGTGATGGAATCAGTCTGGGCGCAGGGCAGGGACAAATAGGTAGACACAATGCTTGAGAAGTGGGGCCAGGGAAATGAGGCTGGCACACAGGCCCCAGCAGGCAGGGCATGGCTGGCTCTCTGAGTGCTGACTCTGGGGGTTACACCAAAACCCTGGATATCTAGGAAACCTGGACAGAAGGGGGTTACAGGTGTTTAGAGGAGGACCTGCCACTTGAGTGCCAGCAGCTAGGTGAGGTGGACAGGACAGAAACTGACTCTGAGTGTAGGCCTGCACACAGTGGGCCCTTAATAAATACTGGCTCAATACACAGACAGGGAGGGAGTCGTGACCGGCCTGGAAAAACACAGACAGGGAATGATTTATCCCAGCACCGGGGCCACTTTGGAATATTGGCTGCCTCAAAGCCATGAAACCCAAGCAAGAAGTTGTATCAGCCAGTTCTGATTTCCTGAGTACACATCACCATGCAGCTCTAATTCATACTGCAAATCAAATATTTATCAAATGCCTTCTCCATGCCAGGCCCTGAGGCTATAGTCAAGGCCCCTGTCTTCATGGGCTTTCATGTTATTCAGGGGAGATAGACACATTATTCAGGGAGAATAAACACATGCCTAGTCTGGCTGGTCTTAGAAGCGATCAGTGAATGTTTATTGAATGCATGAAGTAATGAACAAGGAGCTATCAGACTGGAATAAAAGCGATGTAGAAGACTAACACAGGAAATTATGATAGGGAATGACTGGTGTCTGCTTCAGCACGGGCATTCAGTGCACTGAGATGGTACGCTTTCAGTCAAGGCCTGAATGACAGAAAGGAGCCAGCCGTGACAAGATGAGGGGACGAGCGTTCCAGGCAGAGAGGACAGCCTGTGCAAAGGCTGCAGTGGGAATAAGCTTGGTGCGATCAAGGAACTCAGAGGTCAGTGTGGCCGGAGCCCAGTGGGCCAGGAGGAGATGGGTGTGAGAAGCGGTGGCTGGGCAGTGGGGCCGATCATGTAGGGCTCAGAGCCCTGGAGAGGAGTTAGGTTCTATTCCAAGTGCACTGAATAGTTTTAAATAGGAGGCGGACATGATCTGGTTTACAGTTGCTCTTTGGTTTTTGTGCTTTAATTACTGTTGCTACTGTCTGAAAAACAAATTGGGTGAGGGGTGGGGACCACGAGTGGAAACCGGGGACCTAGTTGGGAGGTTAGGGCAGAATCCAGGATGTTGGCAGGATCAGGGCGTGGCAGTGGATGTGGGGAGCAGCAGACCGATACAGGATGCGTTCTGGGGAGAGCCGGCAGGATGTGCGCTGGGTGGGATGCTGATACGAGGAGAAAGGAATGAAGGGTGAGGCCTAGGTTTGGGGCCTGAGCAAATGGGAAGCTGGTGAAACTTTCTCTGATCAGAGTGATCCCAGGAGGAGATCAGCTGTTTTGTGAGTGACCTGGGGCTACGGAATTCCTGGAGTATGGGTGTGTCACTCGTTTCGGCAATTAGAGTCAAGTGCTACACACTCCACGCACACACACCCCCACACTGAACACACACACACATGGGTGCACACACTCTGCCTGCTCCGTGCGCGTTCCTGAAACGATTCGCTCTTTCCTACTGAACCGATGCAGAGAGTTTGACTCATTTG